GTATGTTTATGGTGGGATAGAGTGGGACAGTTTAAATGTTGTTGGGGTAGTTCAGCGGTATGTTTATGGTGGGATAGAGTGGGACAGTTTAAATGTTGTTGGGGTAGTTCAGCGGTATGTTTATGGTGGGATAGAGTGGGACAGTTTAAATGTTGTTGGGGTAGTTCAGCGGTATGTTTATGGTGGGATAGAGTGGGACAGTTTAAATGTTGTTGGGGTAGTTCAGCGGTATGTTTATGGTGGGATAGAGTGGGACAGTTTAAATGTTGTTGGGGTAGTTCAGCGGTATGTTTATGGTGGGATAGAGTGGGACAGTTTAAATGTTGTTGGGGTAGTTCAGCGGTATGTTTATGGTGGGATAGAGTGGGACAGTTTAAATGTTGTTGGGGTAGTTCAGCGGTATGTTTATGGTGGGATAGAGTGGGACAGTTTAAATGTTGTTGGGGTAGTTCAGCGGTATGTTTATGGTGGGATAGAGTGGGACAGTTTAAATGTTGTTGGGGTAGTTCAGCGGTATGTTTATGGTGGGATAGAGTGGGACAGTTTAAATGTTGTTGGGGTAGTTCAGCGGTATGTTTATGGTGGGATAGAGTGGGACAGTTTAAATGTTGTTGGGGTAGTTCAGCGGTATGTTTATGGTGGGATAGAGTGGGACAGTTTAAATGTTGTTGGGGTAGTTCAGCGGTATGTTTATGGTGGGATAGAGTGGGACAGTTTAAATGTTGTTGGGGTAGTTCAGCGGTATGTTTATGGTGGGATAGAGTGGGACAGTTTAAATGTTGTTGGGGTAGTTCAGCGGTATGTTTATGGTGGGATAGAGTGGGACAGTTTAAATGTTGTTGGGGTAGTTCAGCGGTATGTTTATGGTGGGATAGAGTGGGACAGTTTAAATGTTGTTGGGGTAGTTCAGCGGTATGTTTATGGTGGGATAGAGTGGGAAAAATAAAGGTTGTAGAGGTGGGGATAAGTGGCTACGTTTACGTAGGGATAGAATGGTTTGTTTTATAACTGAGGCCACTGTTGTTCACGTTAGGGCTCCGATACCAAATTCCACTGCATGTAATCAAAGAGATTGTCTTTTTTCGTCCATTCATACGGACAATTTGCTTTCATGTTTAAGAATTTATTTTATTTCAAAACGTTATGTCGTCGTTGCCAGTAGTATGTGAAATGTGTCACGAGTAGGGAGAGATTAAACACTATAACAGTTGGGACAAAAATAGGGTTATACTAAAAGTCTTAATGGCCCGCGTAAGGCCACACTAAGCACTGTGATACTTCTAGACAGTCGGGGGGGGGGGGTAAACTTTTAAACTCAGTAACAGGTAAATTCAATGAGACTTTCACTCAAAACGAAGCCAGGGCTGTATAAATACTAGATATATAAATAGCTCTGCAACCCATGGAAAAAAGATAATGTCAAGTCCAAAGACATTTTTTTGTTGCTGCTGATTTAATTTTTTTTCATCTTCCAAGTGAAGAACATTTCCCATTTTCGTTTATTCATTTTTTAAAAATCCTAATCGGGTGTCTTTATATCACCGCAAGATTAGTCTTCCCTATTTATATATTACTTTTTGAAATTGTTTCTGTTTATGTTCCCGATTTTTGTTTTTTTAAATAACATAATGACGTCATCAATAAAATGGTGGACATGTACTCACTAATCGCTCCTTAAATTTTGTTTCTTTAGGATTTAACATATGGAAATTAACTTTTATTGCTAGGATTAATATTGAATAAGTAAAGATAATAATAAATTGTAGATCTATTTTCATAACAAATTCAAAAAAGGATAAACCAAACAGCTGAAAGAGTCTCTATTGATGTAGATCAATGAAAACAAATGGATGTAATTTAAAAAGCAACATAGAATTATCAGATGTTGCATCTTGTTGTGTCCAATAAGCTTTGTCCGTCTCACCACCTATAAATACCAACGCCTTCTCAAGACATCCTCAACTCAAGAACCTTTCAGGCTAAACCAGTCTCTCTCTCTCTGTCTTTCTCTCTTCTTTTCTCTCTCTCTCTCTCTCTCTCTCTCTCTCTCTCTCTCTCTTTCTCTCTCTTAGTGACCACCAGTTGTCTCCCACATGTTTCTAGATTTTCTTTACTTGGTGGTTCTGATATGTATAGGTAATGTGCTTTCCTGACAGAGATTGGAGAGAGAGAGAGAGAGAGAGAGAGAGAGAGAGAGAGACAGAGGCAGAGACAGACAGATTTTCGCTATAGTTCTAACATACACGAAACACGTTATATAATTGCGTGTGTGTAAAACTTAATATTTGTATTTGTTAGGAGTTTACCTTTTTCCTTACGGGGCTAAAATTTTGTGTGTGCTATATGCAGACTATATTTAGACGTTGTGACCGTATTTCCTGAGAGCAAATTCCAGCCGATTGTTTTCAAATTCAAGATTGCAGAGACAGATTGGTTTCCGGCCAGTAGCATATATTTTAAAAGCACCAAATAAATACCCTAAACGGTCACACGCGCTTGTATTCATGTCCAGACTTTGGTCTCATGGACGCCAGAAAGTTGCGTGTTTCTGTGGCCACTGCGTAGTGACCGCAACCCTAGACAACGTTGACACATTTAAATCTACGTTTTCATATTAAATGAGCTTTTATTTTGCATTCTGTATGCTTGTTGATCTGTCGCTGATTTAATATCCGTACTTTCAAATGGGGGCAGAGAAAACAATTCACTAGAAAATTCAGTTACTTTACTCAAATGTAAATTAATACTTTGTTTTTAAATAAATTTTTATTTTAAGATAAGTTGTGTGTCTTTTGGCGAGTCCGTCATATATGATGTCATGCAGGTCCTGAGAGCCATTTTAACTGCTGGATTATTCATTGCTGGTAAGTTATCGTAAACATTTATTGTTTAGATTATTAATGTTGGTAAAAAAACCACCATAGCATCATCCGAGTCACATTCGTAGGGTAAATTTTTTTTATTGTACTTCATTTTTTTCTGAATTTAAGTTGATTTTTCTTTTAAATTATAATGATGTATATATTTTTTTAAATCAATTTCTCAAAAATTATATTTAACATAATATTGAATCAAATTCTAAATAAAGAGTCAGGATTATTTGTCAATTTTTCAAGAAACTATCTAGACTAAACTGTAACTTTGAATTTGCAGACTTTAAAAACAAAAAAACAACAACAACAAAAAACAAAAAAACAAAAACATTTAACAAAAAATACACATGTTCATATAATATTCTATGTATTTTCTTGTTTCTCTGTACTTCTAAGCACAATTTAAGCGCTTTATTTAATGATGCCATTAACCACAGCTGGCATCTTTTAGTGTAATCATAATGTCCTCCCTCACCCACCCCAACCTTGAATATATAAGGGCTATAAATGACCAACATTATCGTGAGTGAGACGTATATATCTGCTTAAAACGTATGCGTTTTGTCCCCATTCATTTAATATCCTCGAGAAATGATGACGTCATGTACGCATTTTGGTTGCTGGTGTTTTCTACATGAAGTCGATTTCATCCTAGGAGACTTTATTTTACCGAAAACTATTAGCATATTAAAAGAACACTGCGATTTTGCAATTGTTGCTAATTAAACAGTGTTTAGCAAGTCGTTGTTTTAATGAACGTTTGTCGTATCCTATGTGTGATTGAAACAAAAGGCGTATCCATAATGTGGAAAAGATTAGCTTTATCCATTATCACCTATCGATGACTCTTTACCTACCAGGAATAAAAATTTCGATTTCCTACAAATTTTGTCAGTCCTTACCGACTGTACAAGTGACAATTTTAAATTATATTTGATATGCAGGTATGAATGTGGCCTTCTAAGTCTAAAGTTGCAAGAACAGGCCTTGATTGGTCTGTGCAATTTTAGCCACAAACTGAAAGGGCGATTGCACTTTTTTAAAAATAGGATTACTTAAATTGTATTATCTTAAAAGAAGGAAACTTAAGAGTAGTCTATATTTTAACTAAACGTACCTCAGGTTATCACCCTAAGAACAAATTATTCAGAATATAGCCAGATGTTATGTAAGAATTAAAAAAAAATGAGTTAATTCAATCTAAATGTTTTCTAAACTCATTAGTGTAACAATAACATCTTATCTAGGCCTAGAAGACATGCAAGTCTTATGAGGCTGCCTGATTTGGTGCATCATTTTCTTAGAGTTAGTGTTTTGCATTTCCCACTTTTTTTTTTCCCAGCTCAGTGTCAACTCTTTGACAGGTCAGAGTTTGGAGACGGAGGGTCATTCAATCTGACATGCGACGTCGGCCGGATTGGCAATGTTCCAACGTCTGTAACAAAAATTTATTTTCTGTCCATTGACAAAGCTGTGGTTGCAAGTACAAATGTTACACTCATTGCTGTATACTCATCGGTTCCTTCGGAATACCTTGAAAGGGTAATATTTTCAGTCATGATATCATCATTCATGATCAAATCATTCATGATGTCATCGTTCATAATCTCATCTTTCATGATCACATCGTTCATAATCTCACCATTCAAGATCTCATCCTTCATTACAGCCACCTCTTCATATCTCAATCTTATTTCTCACTACATTTTAGAAAAGTTGTACGAACTTTATCAATGTGCTGTTCACCACTACAGAGTTAATTTAAGAAGTCTTTTATTTATTTGTACATTTGTTTTATAGTTTAAGGTAAACACTTAACTGCCTGCATTCATGTGTCTACGTTTGTAATTGTTCATCATTGTTTTTCTTCTCAATCATTTTGGACCCAATGTATGAATCTGAAATTACTTTTAAAGTTTCATAATTAATCCTGTAGTACTTGCTTTGAAAAGTATTTGGAGATTTTCAGATTTATTTTTCAGAACAACCTTAGAAGGTTTTTTTAAAAAAAATTACTGTTTATATCAATAATATATTTTTAAAAAAAATCTTTTTCATCATGTATTTATGTGGGTTTTTTTTTCTTCAGTTTATTCCAAATGGTAGGTCATGGGTCATTGAAGCAGCCGGCGGCACAGGCGCCGACAACAGGGCAACGATAACACTGACACTTAATGTGCCAGATGCTCAATGTTCTGATGCCGGATTATACAAATGTAGCGCTGGCTTTCATCCAACAGATGGCGGTACAGTAGCCAGCTGCTCTCAGAATATTAAATTTAAAGGTCAGTTTTTTTTTTCATTGCTCTTGTTTACATGACAGGCCTCGTGTTCCGATTTAGAGAGCTTGTGTAGGACGTCTTATGAAATCATTCGTCTCTACCCTTCCTGTTTGATTCTCGACGGCCTTACTGTTTGCAACAGTTTGTGACAAGAGGCAATTTTCCTAGTGAAGATTTTGAGTTTTTTTAATAAAAAAATTGATTACTCTGAACCACATTCTTTTGAATGTCAATAATATAAATTCCCATAATGCTATGTAAATCCAAGCATCTATTTTGTTGTCGTATTTGACATCGTGTATGCCAATGCAAGCTGGATACTACGTTGTTACAGTTCATAATGATACGATTCTCGCTACAGCCATCTTTCTTTCATTATTTTGAGTGAGATAGTTTGTGAGAGAGTGATAGAAAAGATAATAGGAATTTTAAAAAAATGTTTTATTTTGTATAATCAATACTAAGTTTTGTGGGGGGGGGGGGTTGATTCCGCCATGGGTTGTTTGGTCTTTACTAAGTTAATGATCCATACCAGTGGTGCTGTCCTTACTGGTCGTAGGAGCCCATATCTTCCGGTTCTTTGTGTCCTTTCAAATGTGTTCGAACTTTCGTCGTGGGACAACCAAGCATTCAACTGTGTCAATGTTAGTGGTGTTGTATTTTTTTTATACCTTAATCTTCAATGCACCGTGTTCTAAATATTACCTTCACATCTTTTGAACGTAAACGCGACAAAATTTATCCTAGAGCTTTTTTGAAGACCATCCTGATTTTAAAATGTGTAAATTTGATAGATTTGTTTTGTTTGTTTATGTTTTTGTTGAATCAAAGTATTCCATTGAAAACAGTTCAAATATTCTCGTAAGACAAAAAAAGTTCTTTCGTATATAAAAATCACTGAGAGTGAGAACAGGCCAACAACACCTAGGAAATCCTGGGCACCAGACAGCTGACAGAGTTCGGGCCCCTTTCATGTTTCAAACATTTTTTAAAAAATCGAAAAAGTGCGGGCCCCTATCTAACTCAGGCCTCTGACAAGTGCCATGCCCCCCTTCCCCCCCCCCCTCGTAATTGCGGACCTGATGAGAGCGCTATAGTACAAAACATGATATATTTGCATAGTATATGTGATGCCAAAGTATTATAAGTTATTTACCACATGGCCCCTTTCATTTTTCAAACAATTTTTAAAAAAACCAAAAAGTGCGGGGCCCTAACCAACTCCGGCCCCTGACAAAGTCCCTGCCCCCCCTCCCCCCCCCCCCTCGTAATTGCGGACCTGATGAGAGCGCTATAGTACAAAACATGATATATTTGCATAGTATATGTGATGCCAAAGTATTATAAGTTATTTACCACATACAACAGCATAGTAAAACATGCGTCACTTAATACAGACATGAATTTTGATACCCTTGGGCCATTGGTTGATCTCACCCAAAGTCACCAATCCATTCTGCACTTTCAAAATGAATATGAATTTTGCAGTTTTGTTTGATGAAGGTTATTTTTAACATCTACCGATGTATTATAGTAAATTAAAAATAAACTAATTTATTCCTTATGCTAAAAACAATCAAGAAACAAAACAAGAAAGCAAGTAAACTAGACAGGAATGGGGGAATTTATTTATAACATTTTAGCACTCGGGTTATTCAAAAGCTAATTTCAATGGTAGTGACCGATTACTCAATAATCCTGATGGGGCTCAATATTTGATCAATTTGTATCGAACGGCCGATCCCTGACATCGGCCACAGCGGGTAATGACTGACCAAAGTAGGACACGGTAAATCTAGTCTTGATTTTGAAATCATTTGGCACAAAATAATGACTCTGAACACCATCATTTTTTTTGTACATATAACTCTTTCACTTTTCTCATTGTTACAATAAGGCAACACGTCTTGACTTAGCACCTATTCTTTAAAATTCCGAAATTTGAAAGCTACAAAGTCGGAAGAGGAAGATGTGCCGCCTACCGAGCAGTCTCGGTAGGCGGCACACCTTCCTCTTCATCAAACAAAACTGCAAAATTCATATTCAGCACATCAATTTTTTTTCAAACGGGGATTACAGTGGCGCAGTGGCTGATCAAAGCTACTGATACACTGTTCATTTTATTTCTTGTTCAAACCTCTGGGCCAATTTGTGAAATAGTCGACATGCCCCCCCCCCCATTTAAACTATCTTTAAACAAATTTGTGAAGATATCACTTGCCTAGTACGCTGTCCTTTGTTTATTGTCCACAACAGCGAGAATAGAAGCCCCTGTGCTTACATTAGACCACCACAATGGCAACCTTCCTGACTTATCCACTAACACGGAGGGAGAGATCGTCAAATTAAGCTGTACATTTGAGGTAACGGAAAAACATGTATTTTAAAATCAAATGTGTTTTTTATGTTATTAAAAAAATGCGAATTTTTAAAAACATTCTCATTTGTTATACTTAATGCTAACCAAAGTGTTTCTTTAGCAATTGTTTACCGTCGTAAAGTAAAGTTTTGTAACGCGGATTATTTTGTTAGACAAATCCATTTCACTCATTGTTATATACAATTTCATTATAATTTACAGTATATTTATTTTATAAGATACATATTTTCACACATATACATAGTTAATCAGGTGAAATCGATTGTGACCAACTCAATGATTGTATATTTTAATAGTGCACATGATTGTGGGTGCGAAGATGTCCCATGAGACAAATTCTGGCACGATGTGAAGCAATTGCATGGGACCTGCAGTTTCAGAATTAACCAGGGCTTTCCTGGCAGGCCTGTTGTGCTCTTCAGCCGCTGTTCTGTTGGTTGAGTTGCTCCATGTTGAAACGGATCAATTGTGTAAAGAAGAACGCCACAACCTTCAGTCATTTGTCTCGTCACTTCCCATGTCCGCATCTATAGCGAACGCTTTTGAGTGAGACGTGTGTCTTTAAATCGTTGCTACTGTCCCCTAGCGAACCGCCCTCCATGCTAGAGCTCACCATAAAATATTTATTTGGACGCGCGGTCCTCTGGCATTTGTACATTTCATCCCGCCCAGGTAGCCTGGGACTGCATTAAAGTGGCAAAAATGCAGTGGAGACATGCCTGTGAGAGTACATCAGTGTCTGGGACCATGTCCTGCCATCCGATGTTGAGGATTGTCGTATGACAGTGGGTGGTTCAACATTGTATGCACGGCGTTGATGGATCGTCCATGTTTCATAGGCGTGGATAGGCGTATGGAGGACATCCGCCTTGTGTACCTTCATTTTTGTTTGAGAGCTGGTGCCTCGCCTGGTCCATAGATTCATAAACAATCCGCCATAGGTTGCACTGGCGCTCGCAGTTCTGGAGGTTAACCTCGCCATCGATGGTACCTCTTTGGGACAGTGTGATGCCAAGGAATGAGATTCTGTTGACCACTTCAAGACTTTCGGCCACACACATGTCGTACTTTCACGTCGGGCTCAGCCTTAGGACTTCAAGGAGCTGGTTGGGACTTCGAGGAGCTGGTTGGTAAAGGGCCTCAGTCTTTTGTGTGTTCATGGTGACTTGGACGTGTCTCTGCAGGCATTGAACAAATCAAAACCCCAGCACTGCATATACCCTTAAATTCCAGGGTCTAGAACACAATATAATTTTAAATTTACTTTTTTAAATATTTTGTTTACAAATATTACGAATCCGATACTCAATCAGCTATAAAACAAATCAGTTGGTTCTTTTCGTATACTTAATCTTATATAAGGGTCCAGTGGGTCTCGGATATACTTGGTTGACCCTTCCCAGCGGAGGAACCAACCTTGTGCCCTATCCGGTAGACCATAATGTTACGACGGTGACCCCAAGGCCTACCAGTGACACCTGTTCACGTGGCAAATATGAGTCAACCCTGGCTTTCAAGGTACCGGCTGTTGACACGATATACATTTGTGTGGTGAAAGATGGTGATGAGGAAGCAAGCAGAAAGAATTTCAAAATTGTTATTAAACCAAGTAGGTTAAACAATTATAATTTTTAAAAAAATTAGGTATGATTTGATTTGTTATGTAATATATTTTATAAAATTCTCTTTTTAAATAATGACTATAAATCATTGGCGGATGTTTAAAATTGTAGTTCGTCCTTGAAAAAATGGATTAAAAAAAAACTTTAAAAAAGTCGTATTTGTGATTGGCCTGAATTTTGCTGTGGGTGATTGGGATGAATCTGGATGTGGGTGATTGGGATGAATCTGGATGTGGGTGATTGGGATGAATCTGGATGTGGGCGCAGGAGCTGAATCTTTCTGTGGGTGATGGAGTTAAATGTGGCTGTGGGTCCTGGGGTTAGACGCTGGCAATGGGTGCTGGTGCTGAATCTTTTAGCGGGTGCCGGAGCTGTGTCTTGGTTAACTGTGAAAAGCTTTCAATAGTGCTTTCAGTGTGTCTTTCAGTGTGTCTTTCAAACTTCTATTCTGTACGCCCGCCCGCCCCACCCACCAAATGAATAAAACATAAATCAACCCGCTGGCTATGCTTGAGTTCGCAATCAAATATTTTTATGTGCAAGCGGTCGCATGACCTTCTCGCAAAACGCCAGACTTTGGCTGGAACTCTTGGACTGCATTATCCAGGGCCGTCTTAAGAACGTAGGGGGCCATGGGCACAGCAATGCACTGGGGCTCCCAGCAACTTAACACACCAGGGTCGTTAGAAGGGGGTGAAGTGGGGCACTCACCCCATGGTCAAACAGTGGGGGGTGGAGGGGGCCGCAAACAGTTGTTGCTCCAAACCCAACTGACCAAGAGGAATAACATTGTAAAATAAGGATAAACATTTAATGAAGTTAAAAATAAGTTATAACTTATTTTTATTAAAAAAAAATAATAATAATTCCAGTGCAATATCGGTTTTAAAACATTATCAGCAATGCATTATAATTCATCCCAAATGATGACCAATTATCAGGTTCTCCATTTTATTACTTTATCTTTCTGCCTCACGCCTAGTTATTTCTTTTCCTGATCAGTGTCAGCTGATACAGAGTCCAGAGCACCTTGTAATTTTTTTTCTTTTGAAACGTTGACGGCATCAAAATGTGCCGACCATCTTGTGTCAGACAGATGCTTTACGACAACGAGAGATTTTCCTAAGATAAAACTATGCAAACCTAATTATTCCAACTACCCAGTACAATCGTAATATGTCCCGATAAACTAGTCTTGTGATAAACTTTTTCTTTGGTTTGCTTAAGACGCTTGATTTTTTTTCCGATCTCTTTTAAAATAGTTTCTATTTTTCAAATATCTTTGATACTCTAGGCAACAAGGGCACGCGCTTGGGGATCGTGGACTCAAACTGGTGTGCCATGAACATGTTGATAATGGTGGTAGCGACGTTCCCGCGGTCAAGATTTGTTTAGCGTCACCTGGACAAAGAAGAAATGCTTGGCCAGCTCCATGAAGATGTACATCGGAAAAGAAATTAAATGTAAACAGGCAGCCATATTGCTTCAAGATTTAAAAAAAAAAAATTCTGTAATCAACATGTTACATCGTAGAATAATAAAATAATTTACTTTCATTTATTTTGATGTTGTTATTTCGATGGTAGTGAATTTCAATCAGATTAAAGTTCACTTATTGTAGAGATGGAATACAAAGCGTTGTGAACAACAAACGGACGTATTCTGGTATATGTGTTTAAAGTGATTTTAGTCAACTTAAATTTAGGGTGGGATGGGGTGGAACACTTCTACAACTGAGGGAAATGCTGTGCACGTTGTAGCTGCTAGACCATTTTCCACTGCACTGCATGGCATCAAAGACATTGTCTATTACGTCCAATTACACGGACAATTTGCTTCATTGTTTAAGAATTTGTCTATTTAAAACGTAATCATCTTTCAAATGAATAACATTTCCCATATCCGATTACTCATATTTTGTCCTAGTCGTTTGTCTGTCTGTGACCGCAAGATTATTCTAATTTTTTTGTTTTTTTTTGTTTTGTTTTTTGTTTATTGAAAATTACTTTTTGAGATTGTTTCTGTTTAATTTCCCGATTTTCTCTTTTTAATAACACAATGACGTCATCAATAAAAATGGTGGACAGACACTCAGTAATGTCTCTATGAAGTTTTTTTTATTAGCATGGTAATGCAGAGAAATTAAGTTTTATTGGTAGGATTAATATAGAATAAGTAAAAATAATAATAAATTGAAGATCTAATTTGATAACAAAGTCAACAAAAGGTTAAACCAAACAGCTTCAAGAGTCTTCATTTGAATATATCAATGAAAACAAAAGGACGTAATTGAAAACAAAACATGCTATTCTCAGATGTTGCATCGTGTTGTGTCCAATAAGCTTTGTCCGTCTCACCCCCCCCCCCTCTCGTTAATATAAACGCCGAACACATCCCTTATCTCAAGACTTTTTCAGTCTAAACCACTTGTCACAATCACAATCTCGATATCAATCATAACAGAGGAGACGTGGTTCACATATTAATAGAGTCTAATATTTTATTATAGACAATCAAAATTAAAAAAATAAAGTATTATATTAATCTCAATACTTCAATAACTAGCATCTCTGGATAATCTTCTTTACTTCTTAAGCTTCATAATATACTTATATAAACTTCGTGAATTCACACAACTATTTTTATTCCACTTCCATCTTGTCTCGTTCTTTCTCCTTCTTTGATTGGCCAGTTTTTCTCAAGTCCCAATACTCTGTATGTTCTATAAGTAATAACTCCAAAACGACCGATCTCCCATATTTCATATATTCATCTAATCATATCTGTGACATCACTCTCTGCCCCCTTTCTCTCTTCCCCTCTATCTCTCTCTCTCTATCTATCTTTCTCTCACACGCTCTCTCTCTCTCTGTCCTTCATACTCATTTTTTTCTTGATGATTTGCTCAACTTCTTTGCTACAAGTTGCCTAATCGTTTATCTGCCTGACATGGTACTTGTGTAGGACTGTTTTTAGTAACCACCAGCTGCCTCCTCATTGTTTCTAGATTTTATTTACTAGATCATTGGTTCTCAACCTTCCTAATGCCGCGACCCTTTAATAAAGTTCTTCAAGTTTTTCTGATCCCCCAAACACAAAATTATTTTCTTTGCTACTTCATAACTGCAGGGTATATTTGTTTTCAGACGGTCTTACGCGACCCCTCTGAAAGGGCCATTCGACGCCCAAAGGGGTCGCGACCCACAGGTTGAGAGCCACTGTACTAGATGGTTCTGATTGTATTCAGCTTGCAGATTGTAGCGGTAGATTGGTTTTTGACCAGTGGCATATATTTTAAAAAGCACCAAATAAAAAAAATATCTTCTAAACGCTGACAAGCCTTAATATTTATCTCCTGACTTCGGTCTCATAGACGCTAGAAATGTGTGTGTTTCTGTGGCTATTGTGTAGTGACCGTAACCCATAGACGACATTATCGGCTACAGGTATATCTATGTTTTCATATAAAGTCAGCCGTTATTTGGCATTCTGTATGCTCGTTGTTCTATCACTGAATAAACATCTGTCCTTACAGGCAAGGGCAGAGAAAACATTTCACTAACAAAGTTACTTTACTCAAATGCACATAATCGATGCTTCATAATTATGACCTAAGCTCGTGCGCAAACTAGTTGGAGTTAAATGTTTGTTTTTTTATATTTAATTTTCAGGACAATCTTCCAGGGGCGTAAACATTTTCTTTTCTTTTACCAATATTACTACCTTTTAAAATCTATAAGTTAATTTTTTTTCATGTTTGTTTTTTTTTTCCCCAGACCATTCCAAAAGGTAGGGCTTGGGTGATTAAAGCATCCGGTGGTAAAGTCCCCAGTCAGTTCGACAACAGGGCATCGATACAACTGACACTTCACGTGCCAGATGCTAGATGCAATGATGCAGGTTTATACACCTGCAACGCCGGCTTTCGTCCAACAAATGGTGTTTACGTAGCCAGCTGCTCTCAGAATAGGACATTTAAAGGTGAGGTTGTTTTTTTTTTCTTCTCTTCACTGTTCTTATTCGCATGACAGGCCTCATGTTCAGATTTACAGAGCTTGAATAAGATGTCTTCTGAAGCCTTCGTCTCTACCAGCCATTGTTTGAGTCTCGCTGGTCACACTATTTCCATAGTAATTGATGCACTGCATTCAAGTTGTGTAAATGAAATACACGAATAAGGTATGCTAAACTTGAACTCATAGACAACGTGAACTTCAAGTTAAGCATACCTTGTTCTTATATTTCATTTACTATTTCCAGCAGTTTGTGACAAGATGCAAGTTTCATAGTAGAGATTATGAGATTTTTATTTTAAAAAATGATAACTCTGAACCACATTCTTTTGGATGTCAATATCAGTAATCTAAATTGTCATAATGCTATAATAATCCCGGCACTGACATTTTTATGACAATTGACCGTTACCAGAAATTTGATCGAAAGAAATTTCGTCGACGGTAAATTGATCGAAAGAAATTTCGTCGACGGTAAATTGATCGACAGAAATTTGATCGAACGGAAATTTGATCTAATCTTTTCTTTTTTTTTTTTCAGTTCACACGTTAAAATTTTCGTCAAATTTCTTTTTGAACGCACTATACTCTAAAATAAAACAAAAAAATGCATTCAAAAAGAAATTTGAAGCAAAATTTTAACGTAAAAACTGATAAACAGTTGAAATCGATCAAGACCATCGTGTTTTCAACACTTTTTTTTTAAGATTGATGAAATTTTTTTTTTTCCTTGTTTTTCTTCTTCTCTACCACTTTTTTCTTCATTTATTATTTTTGATATTTAAAAACGATATCATTGAAAACAGTTTAAAGAATCGTTGTTGTTTTTTTTTGTTTGTTTGAAAATCTGTGCTAGTGAGAGCGCTATGGTACAGAACATTTTATATGTATATATACCCCAAAAGAAGAGTTGCCATTCTGTCACTTACTAAATACACTACCTTGAATGATCTCGATACCTTCGATGCATTGGATCATCCATCCCCTGGCGTCGAATCAGCAGTGTGGACGCAGAGTATTGTTAGCATGTATTAATATTTTATTTAAAAGTAAGAGTAAAGTAATTTATTTGGTAGAATAACCATGCAATTGAAACGCAATGGCACAACACCAAAAAAATAAATTTTTCTTTCTTATAAATCCTTTAATATTATTTTATTTATATTTTCTAATCTCTCACTCGCTTTTAAAACGCAGCTTCATTAGACCAAGTTTTTTTTCCCCAGAAAAACCAAAGAAAATATTACGCACCAAACGCACTTAAGATTTGTTTAAAAAAAAAAAAATCTCATTTCGCAAAGTTATCGGGAATTTATTTCGTGAAAACAGTGGCGTCATCTCTCCTTCATTCCCCCACTGAAAAATAGGAAAAACTGGTGAGGAAAAAAAAAAGGGTGGAGGATGGGGGAGTTTGTGTTAGTGGCGTCTGCTCGATACGTTGACGGTAGGTTGGTCGATTAGCCGTCCGACGATTTTGACCCATGTACACACACAGCCAGAAAGGAACACAGGAAAAAAAAAGCGAAGTGACTATGAAGGATTTTAAAAGGGAACAGGAAAGGAATGAAAAGATAAGCTATATTCCAGTAGGCTACTTTATTTTTTAAAATAATATGCTGCACTGTTTTTGTATTTGTGAAAAATTGATCCATTGCTAACTGCAGTCGAAATACTTATAATACTACATACATATATGAAACAATTTTTTAACATAAATAAAGTGTACTTTACTTTCATTTTTAATATTTTTTTTTATTATTTCACCTCGCATTTGAATTTTTCATTAAAAATTTAGCAATAATTTTTTTTTAAATTGTAAAAGTTATTTCTTTGTGAAATGGCGATTTACCGAGATAGGTGTCTGTCCAAACCCATGCCTCTCCTTGTAGGCTTTTTGACTCTCGGTCTTTTGTCTAGAGGGCTTTTGTCTCTCCCCTTTGGTTTAAGTCGGAGATTTATTATCCAAAGTTATGCACTAACAATACATTTCCACTGATATCTGAAGTCCTACCCACTTTTCTCATTATGGGGGCTTTCGTCATCCTTAAAAACAATACTCTGGTGAGACTTTCTTATGTGTTCATGAAGCAGTAGAAGAGATAACTATGTGAGGATAATTGTAAACGTTTTCCAATATAATCATATATAGTACAGATAATGGACTGATAATGAGCGGCTAATGGATGGACAATGAGCGGATAATGGATGGACAATGAGCGGATAATGGATGGACAATGGGCGGATAATGGATGGACAATGAGCGGATAATGGATGGACAATGAGCGGATAATGGATGGACAATGAGCGGATAATGGATGGACAATGAGCGGATAATGGATGGACAATGAGCGGATAATGGATAGACAATGAGCGGATAATGGACGGACAATGAGCGGATAATGGACGGACAATGAGCGGATAGTGGTCGGGTAATTTACGGATAATGTAAGAACAATAAACCATGCGAAAAAAATTTAAATGGGGTTGAAATAAAATTAGTGCCTACAGTAAATAATTGTCTTATCAAATACTTTTAAACTAATACATCATCCTTTATATTCTAGGCCCTTGCAACAGAGGCATGTGTTTGGGCTCTGTGGACTGCACACAATTTGTTAGGAACATGTTTCTGGTGCTGCCAGTAATGTTGCTATGGCCAAGACTTCTCTAGAGTCACCTGGAGAATAAACATAACCCAGGCTGCTCCCTCGAAAGATGTAGATCATTGTAACAGGACAGCAGAAAATATATCTTGTTTATTACTTGACCCACATATTTTATATATTACAGTAATTAAAAAAGTTGACTTCCACTTGTCTTGATTTTGTTATCACTTATTGTAGTTAAATTCGTTCAGCTTTTTACTTCCACGCAGAATAAATGCTCTAATGTAGCAATACTGCATGACGAAAAACAAATATACCAGATTACGAAATCCATAAATATTGGTCAAGCTTCCTTCTCCCCAAAAAAGACCCTGTCATTGAGCTCACTGTCTCTAGCTCCAAATTGTCGTTGTTTGAGTATTTTATTTTACCGTATTTAAGGGAGCTTAAGTGGTGTTAAGTTTGTAAGTGTTTGGGGTGACGATGGGCACGTTAAATAGTGGAAGGGGTAAGTCAGTTCGGGGTTGTTCGTTTTTTCGGTTGGATGTGATAGGGTACACACAGATTAATGGTAGAGGGTTGTGAGTGGATAAGGTTTATTAGGCATAGATTCAAACAATTGAATGGTGGAGTGGGTTAGTGAGTATTTTTGTTGTTGTTGTTTTTTTTTTGTTTTTTTTGGTGGGGCATAGCATGAGGCAATTTAATGGTGGAGTGGGTAGGTGAGTAGGATCTGGGGGTGGAGGCAATAGATTGAAACAGTTTGATGGGGGATTAGATAAGAGGGTAAATTTAGGTGAGTAGGGCATAAAATGAGAAATTTTCAGTCTGGGGCACAGAATTAGATAAATGAAGAACACGCTAGATGTAGCCCGAATTCATCAAAAACTCTGACATTTTTACAAGCTGTGGTCAATGTAAAGAACTGATCTAGTGATGTTAATTTTTGCACGTACACTTTCCTTTTGGACAAATGTATGTCATATCCTTGACTGCTTTGTTTAAATGTAAAATTAATTTATTGAACATGAATTAATCTAAATCTTTTAAGAAAGGTGTTGTAATTAAATTACGTCACAGGAAGAAATGTATTCCGAGACAAAAAAATAGTATTTGAAAAAATCTATCCGTTACTTAGTGATAAACAATTCTACTTGTTTTGCGATGACGGTGTCCACTAAATTGCTTGATACTTGACCCTAGACCTAGACCCTAGACCCTAGACTCTAGACCTTAGACCCTGTACCCTAGACCCTTGACAGATTAACAAATAGGAGGCGATTTTCGTTGATTCATAATATTTGTTGTTTTCCATTTTGTTCTTTTTAATTTAAAAGTTATTTTGGAATTGCTAATAATAGTATAGGGAATTTATCATGAGTAGGATGATGATGAGCTACTTGTATGGCAAAGTTTTTACTACTGTAGAAGAAAAATATGGCAGATCTATATTTCTCACTGACTCTCGCTAGACCATAACATTGAGCACGGGGATCTTTAAAGTTTTTTTTTTTTTTTTAAATTTACTAAAATTCTTTGGAACTTGTCCTCAACACTCGGACACGTATTTATGAATACTAGAGACATAAAATATGAATAAAAGCAACACGAGTCGGAAGCAATACTTTCAAGTCAATCACAAAAGATGATGATTGATGATGCTGATGATTGAGTACTTTTATAGCGCTTGTGTCCGTGCTATTTTAGCATGCTCATTGTGCTATGATGGTCTTAAATCTATTGAAATAAAAATGTCTTTCAATGGTTCGTGGTTTATGTTAACCTTTTCAATGTCCCTCAAAGATTGAGACAAACTGTTCCACAATTAAGGCGCAATAGCTTCAATAGAGCTCATTCCGTATGACTTCTTTCTGTGTCCATCCACACTGGGAACTCTCAGTAAGAACTAGGTTAAAGAGCGCAGGTTCTGTATGGATTCATTGTTAGAATTTTGTTTTTGAAGATATACATGTACATAGCCTTCCATACAGCAATAAGCCAGGGATAGCGTTTTTGTATTTAATGCGCTCACTCACAGGAAGATAAAGGGGATCTTTAAGAACTGGGGTGTTGTGAATAGATTTCTTTATACAAGATACAATGCGTGCTGCAGTATTTTGTACCTTCTCGAGTCTTTGAATTTGGTTTTGAGATGAAACCCGCAAACAACTGTTACAGTAATCCAAAATTTACTGGATTTGAGCTACTGCTACAGCATTGGCTATTCTCTTATTAAGTTTAGGATGCAGCTTATCCAGAGGGCGAAGATGGCAGATGCAAGCCCTTTCAGTGCTGCCAGTGTAGAAGCCACGGTCTCTAACCGTGTTGGACAAGGGGCTCTCAGAAGCACCAACTTTTAGCGATGCAATAGCATCAGTCCGAAGAGTGGCATCACAACAAAAAATAATGGTCTCTTTCTTATCGTCATTTAATTTAGATTAGATAGATAGATAGATAGATAGATAGATAGATAGATAGATAGATAGATAGATAGATAGGTAGATAGATAGATAGATAGATAGATAGATAGATAGATAGATAGATAGATAGATAGATAGATAGATAGATAGATAGATAGATAGATAGATAGATAGATAGATAGATAGATAGATAGATAGATAGATAGATAGATAGATAGATAGATAGATAGATAGATGGATAGATAGATAGATAGTTAGTTAGACAGACAGACAAACAGACAGAGACAGACACACATACTCACACACACATACACACACACACACACACATACATACATACAAAAAAAATTACATACATACATGTATACATATATACATATATCCATAGACACATAGATACATAGACATATAGATTGTATTTTACTTTCTACTTTTTCATATAAGTATTTTGTTTTGCAAATGTATTTCTTAAATTCATCTTCCAAGTGAATAAATTTACCATTTTTGTAATGCATATTTTATCCTACTCGTGTGTTTGTCTTTCGCCGATAAGTCTGCCCCAATGGTTAAACAAAAATTATTGAAAATTATTTTTTTGAGATTGTTTCTGTTTATGTTTCCGATTTTTTAAATACGTGATGACGCCATCAATAAAATGGCCGACAGGAAGTCACTAACATCTACTTAATATTGTTTCATTAGCGTATACTATTAATAAATTAATTTTGATTGTTAAGATTAATATTGGTTAAGTAAAAATAATAATAAATTTTATATCTAAATTAAAAAGGAATTTATCAAAAGGATAAACCAAATAGCTTTAACAGTCTTTCGAATATTTAATAATATTAATGAATAGTATTATGAACATTGTATCCAATTAGTTTTTTTACAAAATTAGGAATAACACCTTCTCATCAAATTCATCCCCTCGATACATTTTCACACTAAATCACTCCATCTCTTTCTCTGTCCCTCTCTCTTATTCTCTGCCTCTCTCTGCCTCACTCTTTCTCAACCTCTCTCATGCTCTATCTCTCATATTCTCTCACTCACCCTGTCTCTTTGCGAAAAGAAGTACTTATAATCTCTGCTTTTTACTCTCCCATACCCTCACCACTAACATCTCCATTAGACTCTCCCTTAACTTCTGAAAAAAATCTCCATTAGACTCCCATAACCTCTCCACTAACATCTCCATTATACTCTCCTAAAACTTTTCCACTAACATCTCCATTATACTCTCCTATAACATTTCCACTAACATCTCCATTATACTCTCCTATAACTTTTCCACTAACATCTCCATTAGACTCTCCAAAACCTCTACACTAAACTCACCATTGGACTCTCTCAAACTCTCTCCCCTAAAGTCTCGATTAGACACTTCCCTAACCTGTCCCTTCTACTGTCCCCATCTTTTGACCCAGGTCCATGCTCTGACAATCACAACGGTTTTGATCTCTCACACTACAAATCGTCACACCAAGTTCCCTCTACATTCATGAAAAGTAGTTCCGAAAGTAAAAAATTTTAGGAGCGTGGGCTTCTTTATATTTATTCTTGATCTTAACATCACAATTTGGTGTACACATCTAAGTTTTATTTAAAAACAATTTTTTTTTGAACTTCCAACAACTTTCGGCAAAAACCACAAACTCGTCACGACACACAGATGACAAAAAACCCATTCCATCATCTCGGAAAATACTAATGTAAAAAAAATATTTAAAAATACAACAATAAAATGTGTACATAAGTAGCTGAATCTTGTCTGTGTCTTAAATGGCACATCTGAATCTTGTCTGTGTCTTAATTGGCACATGGATAGGACTTCTTTTAGTGACCGCCACTTGTCTCCTAAATTTTTCTAGAATTTCTTTACTAGAGATTTTTTATTTCGTCCCTATATTTAGGTAACCTGCCTTCCTAAGAGAGAGAGAGAGAGAGAGAGAGAGAGAGAGAGAGAGAGAGAGAGAGAGAGAGAGAGAGAGAGAGAGAGAGAGTGAGAGAGAGAGAGAGAGAGAGAGAGAGAGAGAGAGAGAGAGAGAGAGAGAGATTTTTATATTGTGCCTATATATAGAGAAAAGGCGTCCCTAAGAGAGAGAGAGAGAGAGAGAGAGAGAGAGAGAGAGAGAGAGAGAGAGAGTGAGTGTGAGAAAGAGAGAGAGAGAGTGATTGTGAGAAAGAGAGAGAGAGAGAGAGAGAGAGAGAGAGAGAGGGAGAGAGAGAGAGAAAGACAGACAAAGAAAGAGATATTTTTTCCCTTATTTTCCTAACATATGCGAGACAATATATAATTGTGGGTTTATGCAAATTCATTTTTGAGGAGTGTACCTCTTCAGAGCTTTAACAACTGTTATTTACTGTGTGTGTGTGTTATTCTATCTCTACTTAATATCTTTGCATTCAGGCAAGTGCAAAGAAAACATGTCAGTATCAAAGTTACTCTAATAAGATGAACAGTGATACTTTTTTAAAAACTTTTTTTAGGTTAAAATAGATGCACTTTGGTGAGAGTGCGTCATCTGTGACGCCATGCAGGTCCTGGGGGCCATTTTAACTGCTGGTCTCTTCATTGCTGGTAAGCTGTGGTAAATGTGTATTGTTTTAAGTACTGTTACTGGAAGCCTGGAACAACAGCGCCCTAACAGGGCTTGTCATTTCTTCACACCAGAAAACGTCACAGCGTTTCTATTTTTAGAACGTCGGACAAATATTTCTAAAGCTTGGCAGCTAATTTTATGGTCCAGCCTAGCGTT